ATAATTACAGGGGCAAATTCGTGTGTGTCGATCACGACTAACACAATATATAAAACAGAAAATAGTAGGATATGGTTTGGGACAATATTAAAACTTGTATTCGCGTTAGAAATTGTGCGCTAATTAAATCCGAATGTCGGTCAGTCGATTTCTCTCTCTCTTTCTCTCTCTCGTTGTCTGTTCCCCTCTATTTGGCTAATTCGTATGTCGGCCGCAGGCAGAAGCATTAATGGGACTGTCACTTTGCGTTAGACATTCGATGCCAAATCGGTGAGTCCCACGACTTCCATTTAACGAAGCTTAACGTACTACATGAAAGGAAAAGTTGTTTAGAGGACGATGACGTGTCGTAATAGTTTTAAAACGAGGACGCACTCGTCTTTCTTCATCTTCTCTCTACTTTAATAGTACTAACCTATGCGATTTTATCCGTGCTTCCAAACGAACAGGAATCGATCGAATCAACCAACGAACGATTTAACCGATAAAAAAGCTTTCCTCGATAGCTGCTGAATTTATCTAAAAGCTAGCTACTATTCTTTCCCTCTTCGATTAGTCGGAGACAAGAAAAGTCCCAGCGGAAGTCCACTGCGACTGAAGATAATTTGTTTGAGGCGTCGTCGTCGTCGTCCACTACCTATTTTCTTTCTTTCTTTTTTCTTTCTTTCTTTCATTCTTCCTTTCTATCGGCGAGCGGGAAAAGAATTCTACGAGAAAAACTTGAACGAGACAGGGACGCTTAATTTTCTAACGTTTCACAAACGGACGGATGGACGGGAGCTACACTTTTTGTCCAATTGCGAGAAGGATAGCCTATAATAATAGCAAAGTCTACTACTTTTGTTTTATTTGAAATCTCTTTTACGATACTTTTCATACCATCCTTGTTATAACCATTCGAGTTCTATCCAACGAGGTAATAAACGCTACCGAAAATAAAGCAACCCCCGTTAAATTTCAGTGGCAACGAGGAAAACGTGCCTAAGGCAACTTTTCTTTCTCTTTTTTCTTTTTTCTTTTTTTCTCTTTTTTTCTCCCCTATGTTTACTATTACTTAAGGCACTTTTCCTTCGGACATCATCGGTATCGCGCGTGCGCGTACCACCCGTGAACGTTTACTTAGGATTCTCTTTGCAATTTACACTCGACAAACATCAAACAATTCCGCGCGAATACACCTCCGCGGAAGAATCTTGAAAAGTAGGCAAGCGCTGTTGATAAACTTTCATTTATCTATCGAGTATCATCCGTCTACTGATTTTCTATTAATTGACAGGAGCCGTAGGCACACCTAGTCCTCCTCGTCGTCGTCGTCGAATTTAGCATTCTCAAAGCCGGATGTTAGGATAGAAAAAGTTTTTTTTATTTGATTTCTTAACAAATCGGCGCGAGTTTAGCCGACTTTTAACGAGCTTTCCTCGCACTGACATATCTCCATCGAAATCTTTCGGTAAGCGGCACGTAACTTGGACTCCCGCTGGCTTTACCCTTCTCGTAGATGAGATTATCGGAAGCTTTTCGATGGATCCATCCTAAAAGTTCAGTTTTATGACGCGCGTCGCCTACAACACCTCGATAAATTCGTCTTTTTCGCAAGGGACAACTTTTGGCAGCTCGTATGGTGTATGCTCGTTCGGTTTGAGTAGCAACATCTTTCGATTCTTTTTCTTCATCTTCCATCTCCTCCGTCAAATTACTTTAATAGTAATAATAATAGTAATAATAATAATAATAATAATAATAATAATAATAATAATAATAATAATAATAATAATAATAATAATAATAATAANTAATAATAATAATAATAATAATAATAATAATAATAATAATAATAATAATAATAATAATAATAACGATCTTTTAAGGATTAGTCGAGAAGAAGGACAAAAAAGAAAGAAAAAAGTAAAAGCTGTACAGCCCTCGTTAACGCTCGTCCTTTGTCTACTTACTTTTCCTCTTCGTTAATTTTTCTTTCCTCGGCAAACGTCCAAGGTAACTCAACGTTCTTGTCTTTTTCCATCCGATTCTTCGTTAGATTTTTTTCTTCCACTTTGTCATACTTTGAAATTTTCGACGGATTTGTTTTATCTTCCTTTTTCTCCCTGTAATTCGTATCATCTTTTACTACACAGATATCGTTTGACGTCATTTATATATATATATAGCAATTTGTAACTTTTAGATATACTCGTTGAGTAGAAGAAACGTCCGTTTGTTCATTTTCCTTCCAACGACGTCAGTCGTATCCGAATGAACTTTCCTCAAAAGCTTTCTCTCCCTCTCCTCGTATCTTTTCACTTCCGCCGCTATCATTGATCGAATAAGCCCGTACAACTTTTCTTCCTCTCTTCCACAGTATTTGACCACCCTAAACAATTTATTCTTACTTCCTGCAGTCCTTTATTTCTCATGAACTTACGGTTACCCTGACAAAATCTGTCCAACTTCTTCCTTCCTTTCTTTTTCCTCGAGTTTTTTTTTCAAATTTATTTCGATAAGATCGGTCATTTCTGCTGCACCATTCTCCTTTTTCTTTGTAATTTTTTCTTCGAAAACAATGGGAAAGAAATCTTGTGGTCCAACTGCATCATCATCATCGTCGTCATCGTCATCATCCATTGTCATTGAATTAGTTAATACGATCCGTTGTTCCTGGTCGTCTTCCATATCCTTCAAAGACATTTCACGCTTCAATTGTTCTACTATAAGGTCCAAACTCATCTTAGCTTGGACGCTGGCGCTGTCCATCGAGTTAGTTGACGAAACTTTGTCCTTACTCGGATCGATTTGATGGACTCCTCCGTTAGTTTCGGTTTCTTGCGTTCTGAAATGACGGAAATAACGAGAAACGCCTACTCATTTTGATTACCCGTGTTTTCGATCGAACGAGAACAAGCCCATATGTTCCATGTGTTTTTGACGGTTAGGAGTGGTCGATTCGTAATCAGAAGCAATCGCTTTTGCGCGTTCATTAAATCGAATGAAATTTAATTGCAAACCCGGTACTTGAACTAAAATCGATGTACTCGATTGAGCTCTCTCTCTCTCTCTCCCCCTCTTGTCGTTAATAATAACGTGATACGAATGCGAAGAGAATTTTGACGATATCACAAATCTGGCATCATCATCGATTAACAAAACGAACGTACTTGCTTTTTCGAGGACACGTCGATCCCATGGTTGTTAGTCCTCCTCTCTAATTCATCCAAATTCCTTACAAATCCAACAATATTTTCATAGGATAAAAGGGTTAATAATTTGCCAAAAATATCCAAGAAAGATCAACGGTGTCAGGATTGATAGATCAAAAGTTCTCATTCCTCTCATGATACCAAGAATTTTTATCTATCTTTACAACATTACGAAAAAATATTTGTCTTTTTTCAGGTTAACCAAATCGCGTTTTTTTTTTGTCTTTTGTTTATCGATATTTTTCATTAGACGTGCGATTTGCTCGTATTAATTTAAATAGTTGATTAAGTCAGAGCGAAGGTAACGCATTGGTCCAGTAGCTTTTTGCCTGATTAAGAGGAACGTTTGAAACGTACAGAGACTAGAAAATACATCATCCGCTTTTGTTCAATTTTTCGGTACGCGTTTCTCTACGTCGCGTCATATTTATTGCTTCTTTCTACGTGTGTGTGTGTGTGTGTGTGTGTGTGTGTGTGTGTGTGTGTGTGCACTCGGGTCAAGTACTCGTTGCGAGAGAGCGAGAGCCTGTTCAAATAAAGTTTCTCTGTTATTTATCCAATGTGTATATGCATGTACTGTTACCCGGATCATACTTTTCGCGTTAAATCGCGATCTACTAACTGGTCTATCGATCGAGTCTTAAATCGAGAGGAAAATTCAAGAAATGGATGAACTACGAACGCCTACTATTATGATTAAAATGATTGAAAACATTTACGTTAAATGTCGAGCGTGATGCAAGAGAATCGCGAAAAAATGTAACGCGTCGTAAAAACATTTGATTTTCAATTTGATCCATGTTTATTCGAATCGATTCATCCGACCGAAAGTTATATCACCGGTGGAGTAAGAGTCAATGAAAATACAAAAGCTCGGGGTAATTTTTAAACGTGCATATAAAGCCCCGAGGGTTCCACTGTATATTTTTTAAAAATATTTTTCTTCTCTTTTTATTACCAGTATTCATAAATTCACCTCGACCGCGTGCACCTCCTGGCTTTCTCTTTCCTTTTACTTTTTTTTTTTTTTTTGTTATTTTTTCTCTTTTTAACAAATAAATCAGAATATAATAGCGGAAAGAGAAAGGGTGGAAGAGTAGTTACGTTTTATCTTTTACAGTGATTCGGTCGGGCGGAAGGGGGATAGAACAAAAACTAATTTTGTTCGGCAACGAAAACGGGAGAGAAAAATCCAATTGATCCGCTACGTTTTCCTTTAATTTATTTGGATAATGCATTAGAACACGTCCTCTCAATCGGCGAGAATTCGAACACGCATCTAACGTTAATTCAATGCTGCAATAGAAATTCGAGTACCGTCGTTAAGGATCTTCTATTAAACTTGACCTTTTGACGAGCTTTCATTTCTTTCCCAATCGTAAATCGTATTGGCATTCGTTCGATATCTCTCGAAAAATCCTCTTCTACTCTTTCGTTTATTTTTCTCTCGATATTGTTGGAGAAATTTCTTTTTACGATTCTTTTCGAATGGAATTTACTTCTTACGTATTCAATCTCGTCATGCGAGTGAATTTCTTTCATATAAAATGTCTTCTCTTTCTTTCGCGTTTGCTTTTGACCTTTCCACGTTGAATTCCCTTTTTTTCTCGGAAGGCGAGGAGAAAAGAAAGAAAATGTATCAATACCTTCTCCCCCCCCCCATTGTATTCGTGGACGCGCGTGGCAGAAAAAATAATAAAAAGGAAGGCATGAGAAGAAGGGACCGAACGAAAGGCAAACGAAGACAGAAAGAGGAGAGCTGAAAAGGAAAATGACGAGGAACGTGTCTCTCTTTCTGTCTTCCAGGCACGGCCGAAAACGACGCGGTTCAAGCCCTCCTGGCCAGATACCTTCAGAAACGTCTCCAAGGTACTCAACTGTCGACCCTGCCGCCACCAGCCGTCATCTTCAACTCTCGTCATCGGGCCAAAGTTCGTCAGGCCGGTGCTCATCAGAAAACCTCCAACACTGCTGGATTAACTCGTTACAAGGATACTAGGAAGAACAACAAAGAGGACTACGTGGACGATGATTACGTGGACGATCTTCAAGGGTTCGAAGACAGCGATAGGAGTAGGACTAGAATCGATCTTCTTGCTGGTAAATCCTTCCTCGTCATCTTCATTTTCTTTTTATTTCTATCCGAACCAACCCAACCATTTTTCTTTTCCTCGTACTATTATTAGTTTACTCTTTTACTCTTTCTCTCTCTCTTGAAAAACACGCAACAGGGTAAGAAAGAAGAAAAAGAGAATTGGATGGAACTAGGCTGATAGATAGCCCGCAGGAGTAGGCGATAACGAGGATATGCAGCCAGATACGAATGCACGCGGCGTTGACTTTCATTCTCCTCTCATCGATTTTCTATCTTCCAAATTCTCGCTCCGAACGTGTATCCTTCTCTTTGAAGGGAAACAAAAAAAAATGGGAAATAAGAGTGTGTCCACCTATGTTGATTTTTCTTCTTCTTCTTCTTTTTTTTCTTTATTCGCGCGGATCTATTTCCTCGAAGAAAAATCGTTTTACTTGAAGGGCTTTGAGAAAAGCAGAGAACAGTAATTTTATTCGTTGATCTCTTCTCTATCCGCGGGATACCACCTTGCTAGAGATTTTTCTTTTCAATTCATTTTATTTGTTCATCGAGTGAATGCCTTTATCGATCTTGCGTAAAAATGCCACGTGATTCATATTTCCTTCTTTTTTTCTTTTTCCAATTGCAACATATCTAGGAGCTGTCAAAATTGTTTTATTATTTTGTTACATTACGATGAAAGTAGAAAAATATTGAATAAGTCGATGTGTGAAAATATTAGGGATGCATAATATATTCCATTTTCTGTTTCATCAAACGTGTGTACGCACATAACGTATCTAAAAGAATCCCGTTTATTCGCGCACGTCCTATTTCCGTCGGTCGCATTCTCTCTTGTCAGCGTTTTAAACGACCACGCCGGAGACGTACGTTTACCGAATCGACTTGCTCAAACTATGAAATACGTATATCTATGTATATATATATTGTACGTGCAACGGATACGCGCGACATGACTTTACTGTAACGTAATACGTAAAATATGCGGACAAGCATATGGCGTGTCCGCGTGCGTCCACGTGTACACATACACACACACACACAGACACACATATATATATATATATATATATATATACCTATAAGCGAAAGCAGTCCGGCAATACTTCCCGTTCAAAGTATATCTGCTATTTGCGAGTTTATTCTCTAACGTCATACTTCTTTTCCAAACCCTACCTATTTGTTTCGATAAAAGATCTGAGGGATGATCTACGAATCGAAAAAATACTTCAATGTCTTTTGATCTTTTGATATTTGTGATTATTATATGAGTATCTCTCTCTCTCTCTCTCTCTCTC